AAACTAATAAATTGGTCTAAATTAATAGGAAAACTAATCCCTTCACTTAATTCTGATATATTATTTTCGATATCTTTCCAAATTTCTTCTTCAGTTCTAGAGTCCTTCTTCAACTTTTTTTTTGATTTAATTTTTCCCTCTATATCTTCTAAAGAAACATTGCTTCCTGTGTCATCAGATTCCAATTCCGTTATACGATTTTCATCTTCAGTGGTACTAATTCTTATTAAATTTTGTTTTGATGATTCACTGGTAGTTGGTGAATGGATTCGTTTTTTCCCTTTTAAATTGATTTGAGATGGTTCCAGAAAATTTTCATTTATCAGTGGGATAGATGGCTGGTTGGTTACAAGATCGTCGATTGTATTATTTGAGTCATTAGTTTCTTCCATTGCCTGATTCTCCGGTATTTGGGATTTTTCTAAATATTGTGAACAATTTTTGGCTAAATGACCCATTGTGTTACATACAAAACATTTTAAAGCATCAGTGGATATATAAATCCAGTAATTTGTCCCTTCAAAAGATAGTTGAAATGATTCCGGGAGTCGCACTTCATCATCTGGGTTTATATATAATTGTCTTCTGAAGCTTAATATATGGGAAAAACCAGGATCAGCTATTCCTACTTTCATGAACGTTATAGGTGACATTACATTAATATTTAGATCCTTAAATTTTTGTTCAATTACATAGTTAGGTATTACGGGACAGACATTAGATAAAACTATTCTCTTATTTCTTGTAATGAGCGGTTTAATCTCAAGAATATATTTTTGTATAATAATCTTTTTCTTTTCTTCTACTAAATTGTCAGCTGTTCTTTTTGAATCTAAATATATACAGATACGTGCATTCGATATCCGAGATATGAATCTGATAGATGTAGCAGGTATGAGGGAAGATAAAGCTATGAGGTACTCCCTGAGTGCTATCCCATCGATGGAATCCAGTATTATGGCTTGGTCTTTCTTGGGGAAACATGTTGACGATGTTACATTAGCGTAACTTGCAGTATTAGGTGTTATTTCTGACGTTGTAGGTAATTGAGACATTGTGGGGTTAGAAGACTTTGGGATTGAATACATTTTTATGCAAGGGATAATTTCCTGTTGCCAGGAAAAAACCCTGTATAAGGTTTTCCACTATCTAGGCAAGTATAGTCACTTTACGCGTAAATTAAAACACGACAACGAATCGAGCGAGGTGAGACACGCGCGTCCGCTGTGACTACCCGCGTGGAACTGGAAGTCGGTTTGTATTTCTTTTTAAAAAAAAAATTATTTTCCATTTTTAGTGTAAACGTAATAAGCACGTAATTTGTAACTAGAAAGTTTTTAATACCATATTCGATTAAGAATTTTATTTAAATAAAATATTTATGGTTCATTTTTTTTAAAACCGCTCGACCGATTCCGATAAAATTTATAGGTATGGGACCACCTGGGAAGTATACCGTTTGAAACAAATAAAAATTTCGAAATCGGTTCAGGCGTCTTCGAGTGAGTATTCGGTGAACATACATAAAAAAAAACAAAAAAAAAGATTCCGACGCATTGAGAACCTCCTCCTTTTTGGAAGTCGGTTAAAAAGTGTGCGATATGGCATCATAATATCAATTAACATTTTCAGCATGAGACGCTAACTTAGTGTGTTTGAGAACAAAATGTGTCGGTTAGCAACTTCCAGTCTTCTTAATCACAGGCTTTATTCCACTTTAAGTACTTTGGGCTCTATTTACATTTAACAAACAGGGAAGCTCTTACAGCTAAAGGAATATAGTACAGTAGTCTTCATATTTGCTTTTGTTTATATCCAAAGGAATCATATAAAAGATTTAAGCTTTTGCTTTTTGAATAAATATATAATATTTTTTTATTGTATCATTAACCGATTTCCAAAAAGGAGGAGGTTCTAGATTCGTGGGTTTTTTTATGCATGTTCACTGATTGATTACTCGAAGACGCCTGGACCGATTTGGAAAATATATTTTTTATTTCGAAAAGTATACTTCCCAGGTGATCCCAGTTAAATTTTATCGAAATCGGTCGAGCAGCTTTTAAAAAATCAACAATATAATTTTTTTAAATAAATTGCTCAATCGTAATGTTATTAAAAAACTTTCTTCTTACAAATTACCTCTTTATTACGTCTATACTAAAAATGGAAAAAAAAAACTTAATACTGGATACCTTAATTAGCTATCCTCTATCAAAAAATGTTGGGGGAGGGGGTAGGGGGTTAGATTATGATAGCTTTTAAAACAGTAGTCCACGATACAGTTTAAAACTGGGACTTGGAAACCGTATCATGCAAATTGTAGAACAATGTTGCCACTAAATAATGCAAATGTTAATTAACCTCTTTATTGGTACATATTGGTTTTGGGGGAAAGTTTTGTCAAGTTATTTATTATGTAGCTGATTAAATTATCTTAAGATTGAATTATTGAATTATTACCTGTTAGTAGGTACTTAAAGTTTGGACAATCAAATATTTGATGTGTATTACCACCCTCTTAATAGAGATATCCCATGATCGCCTCCAGGCTACTTCAACTTGATAGAAATATTGTAAATTATAATTCTACTTTAAAAAAAGATTATACTTTAAGAAAAGATATTGGTCCCGCTAAGTTTCTTTCGCCAGTTCTTCTCAGGTCTGAGGCTTCTTCTTTTCGAACTGGTAGTAGACTCATGACGTTCAGTAAAAAATTGTAATAATTTAATGCTGAATAAAATATTTTGATTTGATTTCATTTAATTTATCGATATTTTTTGTAGAGCAAAAAGTCGAGTGTCTCCACAAAACGAGTGGATGATTACTATCAAACTGGGTTATTGTGAGTAGCTTTTACAAGATTTCAGCTTGATAATACTCATCTTTAAAAATAAATATATATAAAATAAAAAATACAAACATCTCATCATAAAAAAATTAATATTATTAAATTAATATATTAAAGACTTTAGTCTAGATTTATCTAATAAAGGCAACATCAATATTTAAAATAATAACTGTTATTAAGAATACGTATATAAAACAAAATTTTATAATATCGAAATAGAATATGAATAGCATTTGTTATAATATATTGTTTAAATATTGGCAGATTTAGTATGCACGATAAATATTGTTTCTAAAAGGTTTTCGTTGCGAGAAATTTTTGTAACAGATAAATTAATATTAAACACACTTCATTATAAATGAACATAAATTTAAATGAATTTGAATATAACAATCTGCTTTTGTTTTTCATTTATTAATAGTTTTAATTATTCATCAAAATATAGGTAATAAGTATTGATTTACATTTTCTACTACCAATTACTATATTACTGTTACTGCTAGCCCATATTATCATCCCACTGTTGGGCAAAGGCCTCCGCTCTACGTTTCCAAGTTTTTCTGTCTTGCGCTAGAATAGGCCAGTTTGGATCGAATTTGTCCAATTCATCTCGCCACCTAGTTCGTGGTCTGCCGCGACACCTCCTTTCTATCTCAGGGCTCCGCTTTGCTGCATATACGGAGCTTAGACTTGGTCTTTCTGTGCTTAGATGTCAAAACTCAGAATTATTATATTAGTACAGTGAAATTCTAAACTCTATATTTAAGTTAATATTCGACGACACGATTGACTCAGTTCGCAGTGACCCTACTTGCTGTGCCAGCAGTCGCAGTTTCGAGTCCCGTTGGAGGCATTAATTTGTGTGATGAGCACGAATGTTTGTACTCCACTCTTGGGTGTTTATATTTATAATATGTATGTATTTTAAATTATATATGTGTAGTGTATCAAATTTCTGATATTCATAACACAAGCCCCGTAGCTTACCACGGAACTAGATGGCGAGAAAAAATATCGTTCTAATCTATCTTCAAATATTATATCTATATTCAAAGGAAAGATCTCAATAATATTAAAAATAGATGTTTTTATTCGATTTCGTAATATAATACCCCACCGATTATCCTTTAACCCAAACTTTAGGTAATATAAAATAGAAACAAATCTAACACCTCTTAGATAAAACAATTAATTATTAAGAGTAATTATAAACGATAAAAGGTACAAGGTAAACAATGTAAGCTTGGAAATTTTTCACTTCATTTTTCATACTTATCCGGAGGCGCTTAGAAAGCCGCGATATAAGTCTTAAAAGGCAATATTAGCCAGTCCCTGAATAACTATACCACGAGGACGATCCTCCTTTGATCCTCAAATTTTTATACTCAATGTTAGCAAAATATAACTACATATGGATAAGCTTGTCCATATGAAAGTATCGAGAACTGCTGCTATTTTTTTTCTTTTTGGTTTTATTTAATTTACTATGTACAACTTTGACCTGAAAATAATGACAATTATGATAATTAATAGTTATATTAGCATTTTGTCATCTTTGAATGAGTCTGGTAATGTTCTGAAAATGTGGCAGTAAATTGGTGTGATCATCTACACTAATATTATAAAGAGGAAGGATTTGTATTTTTGTACGTTTGTAACGAATAAACTCAAAAACTACTGGACCGATTTAGATGAAATTTGGTAAGAATATTGTTTGAGATCCTGGGAATGTCATAGAAGAGATTTTATCTCGGAAATCATCCCTCAATGGGGTGAAAATAAGGATGAAAGTTAGTATGGGGAATCAACCTAGGGACGAACCCGAGCGACGCGAGTGTGAGTCGCTAGTTAGAAATATTTTGTAAGTGAAAAAGTAATACATACAGATAGGTTTACTTTAGCAATTTTTTGTATTTTTAATAGGCATACAATGTAAAAATTGATTTATCAACTAGATGAATATAACAAATATGATATTGGAAGTACAAAATATTTATAGCTTTTAAGTAAAATATTGTAAATTTTGCTTTGAGAAATGCAAATATTTAGAATATTTACAACATAATATTAGCATATATTTCGTTCCCTGTTACTAGCACCCTACCAGATGACAATAAGTCGGCAGATATCAATATAAGCATTTCGATTGCAGTTTCAAAGGCTGAGATTCTGTCAGGACCCGAGCTATTTGTGCGAGCCGGCTCTGATATTAACCTCACTTGCATTGCGAGGCACGCGCCTGACCCACCCAGGTAATATATGCATTTAATATACGTACTATTTGTAATAATATGTATACATGGAAGCCTATTTAGAATACGATCTTCGCATATAAACCTATATTATTTATTACTTAGTTTTTTACCGGAGCTCTTATCTGTTCAATGGATTAAACGTAAAAAATAACAAACAGATAGAAAAAAAATCATTTACATTTATAATATTAGTTGTGTTGAGTTTCCATTTGTTACATACAAAAACAGTATAAAATTTACAATTTGAATTGTCAACAATCCACCAAAAAGTGACTTGGGTCGGAATGCAATTTTATCAACTGTAATAAAGATATATGGGTTATAATATTGTGTATGAGCAGTTTTAGAAGAAAAATCTCACATATTTTTAATTATATATATTATATAATATTATCTATAATAACGAAAGAAAGCTTATTTAACTACCCTGAAAGTTAATATTTTTTGATTATATATATAAATATATATATATATATATATATATATATATATATAGAGGCAGTGGTAGCCCAGTGGTAACGCGCTTGCTTGGGAAACCGAGTGAAGCGGGTTCAAATCCCGGGTCTCGCACCACTGATATTTTCATGTGCGAATCATTTCTAACATGATTACCACTTGCCTTACGGTGAAGGAAAAACATCGTGAGGAAACCTGCATGTCTGAGAGAACTTAACAAGTTTTCGAAAGACATGTGAAGTCCGCCAATCCGCACTTGGCCAGCGTGGTGGACTATGGCCTGATCCCCCTCGTATTGAAGGGAGGCCCGTGCCCAGCAGTGGGACGTTAAAAAGGGCTGAATACATACATACATATATATATATATATATATATATATATATATATATATATATATATATATATATATACACATATATACATAAAGTCCTTCATTGACCTTTTACCAAACAAAAAAATGATATATTTGGAAAGTATTACTTAAGTATTACTTAAATATAGTAATACAATTAAATAACTCAACAACAAACAAAACCGTTTAGAAATAGCAAATCAAAAGGGCGTCGTGTTTCACCGGGAGAAACCTGTGCAGTTGACAACTTGACAAAAGTTGTTGGAGCTCGGTTAGAATTTCCATTCACCGCAACGTTTACTTCATTCACTCTATGCTTTCAGATTTACACTGATTTCGATAATTACGCTTCTAATCTAATGTCTATATTAGAATCAAATGTCAACTTTAGACATGGCATATAAAAGTCATATAAACTTTGCTTAAACCTAAAAAGTTTTAAAAGTGATTTTATAATCCACGAAAAATGGAGAAATATTGTGAAACAATGACTCGGCATCTATATAATTTAATTAATATATACAAAAAATCGGCTCCAAACTTTTTTATAATACACATTATAACGGTGAAGGAAAACATCGTGAGGAAACCTGCATGTCCGAGAGAACCTAGCAAGTTTTCAAAAGACATGTGAAGCCCGCCAATCCGCACTTGGCCAGCGTGGTGGACTATGGCCTGATCCCCCTCGTACTGAGGGGAGGCCCGTGCCCAGCAGTGGGGCGTTAAAAGGGCTGAATACATACATACACACATACTTACATAATAGTTAAATATGTTGTAGCTATAAATAAATCAACTCTTTTAATACTACTATAGCAAGTACACAATATCCTTAATCATTGATCATTGATGTCATAATTATAATTTTTCTATGATTTTGTTTCATTTTTTTCATAAACAATGTATAAAATAGTTCTGTCCCCAGCTTCATATACTGGTATCGTGGAGCCAACGTGGTGAACTACGCACAACGAGGAGGTATTAGCGTTGAAACGGAACAGCGTACACGGACCAGCCGACTTCTTATAGCGAGAGCGTCTCCACGGGACTCTGGGAACTACACCTGTGCACCAAGCAGTTCAGGTAAATAAAAGAAACTATTAAATTATGAGATTTACGCGAATATTTATGATTTTTAATAAAATTATATTACGATTTTTAGCGGAAAATAAATTAAAAAATATGAATAAACTAGCGGCTCACCCTCGCTTCGCTCGGGTTCGTCGCTAGGTACGTTTTAAATAGATATAAAAAGAAAAAATCTTTCTTTCTCACATTTTAATTATATGTTTTAATACTTACCTATTCCGGACTAAGAGAAATCCAAAAATTAAAATATCATAAAAATTGGAACGCGGTCGAACGGGATAAAAAGTATCCTATGTCCTTCTCCTGGCTCTAAACTACCTCCCTGCCAATTTTCAGCTAAATCGGTTCAGCCGTTCTTGAGTTATAAGCGAAGTAACTAACACGACTTTCTTTTATATATATAGATTAACTTACTATTAAAGTTGATAATTTTTTTAATACCTAACGTTAAAGTTGTTGATAATGAAATGGGGAAGTGTTAAAAACGATAGAGTCCACTAAACTCCTAAGTCCTAGGTATATACCTATTATAAATTGCAGTGAGGTCCTCATATAGAAAGGATAGCGAGTAGACACAGTTCTGCAGTGTTCGCGATTGAAAGAATAAAATTTATTTTATTTAATTCCGTAGTATTATATGTGTCCTATGGTATTTTATTATGAAGAATTTTAATACTGCCGAAAATAAGTATCATTAAGAGTTATGTTTTATGAAATTAAAATATTGACTGATGCTTCTTAATCCCTCCACGACCGCGGACACGCCGGCGTTACAATAGATTTCTTATAAATTTCATTAATTTCTTAGAAATTTACCTGAAGGTGTTAATACGTGTACATAAATGTTTTGTTTGTTAATATTCATTCATGAATAAAATACATTCAAGAATTTAAGAAATGTGACATACTTAACATGAATACTAGAAGCAAACACAAACTTGTAAGTGGAGTAGTTTACATAGAGTCAGTAGTTGTTTGTATGGATAATTAATACGTTTTTACAACAGGATCCCATCAAAACGTTCAAAAAGCAATAAATATTTTTTTCAAAAAAAATATCAAAGAAAGTTAATAATAATAAGCTAAAGGTTGTTATATAATAAATGATTTTATATAAGACGGCACGTCCTAGGAATGATGATCGCCTCACTAGTTCAATGTCGTAGAATTGTTGTAATTTACTTACAAAAAAAAGATAAAATAAATAATTTTAATCCCGCTTTGCTATTGGCAATTTTTCAGGTTTTTCATTCCGAACTGGTGATAGATTCATAAAATGAAATGAATGTTAAAAATTTTATATTGAATAAAATATTTTTTGACATATTAAATATTTTATGATATATTTTATATAACAAGAGTGCAGTAATTTAATATATATGTATTAGTATATATTATCAAACTAATATTTCTTCAATCAATTTAAAACTAGATTAGATGGGCTAATTACTTTGAAATCTTCAGTAAGGCTAACTTTCACCTCACCAAAGGACATAATAAATTATAATTTAGTGCTTAAATTTACATAAAGTGTCTGAGGTTAAACCACTCTAAAATCACTTTTCTCAAAGAATGAGAAACTCTTAATTAAGTTTTCATGCTGAGTAATAAAGATTGAAATAAACGTTATAAAATTGTATATAATATATAAAAAAAGTTATATAAATTTAAATAAATTATTTATATAGATATATAATATTAATTTATATATGTTAAGTTAGAGAAAATAAATAATCTAAATATCACTATATGAGTATTTTCTACGTTTCCATATTTCCCTCTTTCTCATGGTATCGAAATATAAATAAAGGGCCATGATTTCTAGCATCTTCTTTCTCTAGTATCATTTGGCCAATAAAAACATTCACCGGGAATCAAACTTGCTATCTTGAAATAATCAGAACTGATAATTTAATTTAAGAAATCTATTGTTTTATAAGGAAGTAATTTTTGTTTCAACAGATTCTGCATCAGTGGTGGTACATGTCCTCAACGGTGAACGACCGGCTGCAATGCAAAGTGATGCTCCACAAAAGACACCAAATATCTTAATTCTTTTAACTATACTATCTATAAGAAGAGAACTTACTGACTTCGTGCTACACACACTTTTCGCTATACACATCAACTTCCAAAACAAACTATTACAAATTTTCGACAATATTAAATTTATATCTAGATGACCTGAAAACCTAAGTATAACAAAACTGTAAAGGCATCAAATGCAATTAATTAATTAATAGAAAATATTAAAAAATTAGTTATGAAAAAACGAATTATTATAATACTTATCGTATGATTAACTTAGAACATAATACCCAAGCTAGTGTTTATAAATGCCTATTATGTATTACCCAAAATTTTGTTGTGAATTCTATATATATATATATATATATATATATATATATATATATATATATATATATATATATATATATATATATATATATATTCTTTATTGCATATTAACAGAGTAACACAGATAATACAGAGAACAATGTGGGCAAAGGTGGACTTATCAATATTTATAATTATAATATAATAGATAATTAATTTCACTGTACAATTTGAATACCATTGGTGTAATTTGTTTATAGTGTACTAGTTCCATGGATCATTCTAAATTTTATTGAACTACGTATAAATATAATCATGTTAAAATTAACTAGCGGTCTGTTTAGACAACAGAATTAAATAGAATAATCAATGGAAAGTAAAAGCAGGCTTTTGTAATTTTCAACAGTTAATTTTACATGTTGAACTAAATTACATTTACATATTGAATATTAAAGTGCTATTTGTAAAAATACTACCAGATGAAGCATGGACGGGGCAAATTTCATATCGTGTGTAAATAGAGGGTGAATACTTGTACCTAATAATATCAGCATTGAATTTCATCAACATTAATTTAAATAAACGACAATTTTAATATTAGAGTGTTTGTTAAGTAAATTTCGAAAACCGAAAAGATCAAAAGTGTTGTATTTGGTGTTGCTTCAGCGTTTTCTTTATTGTAAAATGTTTTATCTTCGTGCTATAATATAAACTGTATCTTCTTATAAAAAATATAGGTGACAGATAAATCTTCTTATTTATAAATAAAAAATCCATGGCATTTGATACTCATTGATATTAATATCTCATTTTGATGATACGATTGGTAAGAATCTACTTTGTAAAGCCACTTAACCCATAATCGAGCTCTAATCGAGTGGTGCTCCATATCGCTCCGATGCTATCGGATCACTTAACACTGATCGACTTAGATCAAATACCGTAAATATTGTCTGTGATTCAATATTATTACTTTACCAATTATCTGTTACTGCATTATGTTTGGATTTAATTTCTTATAAAGCATAGAAATACTAAACTTAATTTACATGACAAAAAACAGTGGACATAAATCTATATATTTTGCCTATAAATACACTTAATTTTGTACAAATCATGGCGACGTGGAATAGCAGCAAAAAATCAATTACTTAACCCCATGAAACGCAATTTTGATTTTTGGATGATAATTGATCAGTCCACTCTTATACGCGTTAGGCCATAAAACGAGGAGGTTTTATCTCTTAAGACTCTATGAACTAAAGGTTTCTTCTGCAAATGTTACAAACAAATTTTTGAACAAAAAAGTAACCTTTGATGGACAAGTTGACTTATAAATATTTTTTTAATACACATTCTATTGATCATAATATCCATACGTTAAAGTTTTTATATATTCCAATATAACGTTTAAACAAAGCCGGAATTTTCGATTTAGGGTGAATCGTTTACTTTATGAATTTCACATTGTAAATACCTCGCGTTATTTTATGAATAATATGAATTTTTGTTTTATTATCTTCATACACTTTGCTGCCTCGATTTTATCAAATTACAAATATTATTATTTCCACTAAACATTATTTTCCGCCTATTTTTTCTTTTGTTTTGTATATGAGAGAAGGGAAAATATACTACCTAAGCATATAACTATCTAACCATACATACATACATACATACTAGTATATTTATGTTTGTTGGTGAATCACTACAGTAACTCTTAATATTTGTTCCATAGTTTGCTTATCACACTATTTCCAGTAGCGCAAACTTAAATTTTGTTTTTAATGACTTCAGAAATCATGTTCTAAATATGACACAAACATGCATATTAAGGTAGAATATTAAATTACAAAGCGAAGAGTTGATGACTTCATCAATTTGTATAACTCGGCAACAGTAGTTAATTATTTCGACGTCAGTGCTTCTAATGAGAGCGTTCGTTTGGTCAACATACTAGTTCAGGTTTACAAAGAATTCATGGTATCTATGGTATCTATGGTAATTCATGGTAATCGGTTTTTATATACTATGATAATTTTACTGGTTACTTCATGTAATTTTTGTTCTTTCTGTTTTAGAGATATAATTTTGATGATTATAATGTATAAATATTGCTCACTATCATTTACTTGTTAAAGTGTATGAAATCAATATTGAGAGCATCTCTTTAGAGAAAAAACTAACGTTTCAATTTAATTACCTAATATTATAGAAAGCTCTCATTTTTGTATGTATGTTTTACTAGAGATATATACAAAAAGAAACATTCAATCTTACTGGATTGAATATTTCATAATATATATGAATAATTTTTCATATAAGTATATATATTAATATCTTACTGTGTATAATAAATGATTGTACTGTTTTTGGTCGACTTCAAAAAAAGACGTAATAATTAGAGTATAATATGTACATTTGTGTAAGTTACGCGGTATATTGCCAACTACGAACCAGAAATAGGGTATATGTACCTCAAAGGTGTCCTATACTTTGAGGGAAAAAGCTAAAAAGAGACAGGTATAGCTATTTCACCCTTTTGGGTGCAATAATTATACTTCAAAGTAGTTTTGAAGTCGGTCTACATTTTTAATTGAAAAGTAAATAATTTAAGGCAATAAAAATCTGGATACTTTACTACATATTATAATGTAAAACGGAAATGTAAATATTATGCCTCTATGTAAATTATGAATGCAGAATAGAATATCTTAGTATTTTAAAATATCTGTACTTATTACACATCACTACTCCGTAAAAGTTCCATTACAAGCAATTATAAAATAAAATAATAATTACTTAGCTGTAACTGTGAATACATTTGTAAATAAATATGTTTTACGTGTTATATCTGTGGTTTTTATTTCTATTCCTTTCTATCGTTCATTCATATTATTATATTATATTTATATAATATATTCATATTATTATATTATATTTATATTATATTTATTCCTTTTCGTAGTTCATTCATATTAATAAACTCTTGTTATACAGTATATAATAATAATTTTACTGCCTCGTTGGTGTAGTGGCTAGCATGTACGGCTGCGCACCCGGAGGTCCTGGGTTCGAGTCCATGGTCGGGCCAAATTTAGTTATTATGTCGTTCTGTGTAGTAACCCTTGGTAATAGCCCGGAGTTGGGAAGTTGGCGGTGTTTCACCCCTGTGCCTCGGAGAGCACGTAAAGCCGTCGGTCCTGTGTCTTAACTCTCACCGGTCGTGTCGAGCAGTCCTCCCACCGGAGCATGAGAGTGACAGGAATAGATAGTGCACTTGTATCTGCGCGTACACTTGTGCACTATAATATCCCATGCGCAGTTGGCTCGTCTCAATGAGATTGGCCGCCGTCCCCGGAATCGGTCAGGAGAACATCATCAATAATAATTATTTTACAACTTGTATATAAATGTGTATTTAAAGACTTCTAATATATTTTTATTAAAAAACAACTTATTAATTGAAAGAAAAACAACCAGGAAGACAAATAATTATACTGTAAATTAAAAATGTAAAGCATTCCATTTCCAGCCTAGCACCCTATAAAATGGTTGCTAAAAACTTGTTATCTCTACGCACCTAGACAACGAGCTCTTTTATTAAAACGTTACCATTCTGACAAAGGATGTTTTCAAGCTTGTGACTTTAAAAATTAGCTTTTAATTAAAACCCGGTAAAAGTTTACGTCATTACTGTCGGCCTTTGTGATTGCGACCCTTTTGGTCCCGTCTCTTATCTTCACGAAATGGTAAAATTAAATACGCCAGTAGTATTATTTTACGGTTCCATTTTGACATATCACATGTTCCTCTTATGTTTTTGACATACAAAGAATAGGTAATCACGTCAAATATCAAGATTTTATGTTCAATTTTGGTAATATTCTGAAATTACTGCAAGAATAGTGTAAAAGGTTTTTATTATTATAATGATGTATGGATATAAATAATAAAAGAAAAAATTGGAATTTGCCAAATTCTAGTCACATAACTAACTTTATAATATTAAATAATTAATTATTATAATTGTCAGCATATATATTTCCTAATAAGCATAGTTAGTAGCAATTTTTACTAATAAGCAGTCTTCAGTTCCTCACGAATAAACCTTCGTTTAAATAAACGACGCGGTGTCTTGAGCAGCAAAATATAACGTCAAAATATATGATAAATCGCAATATCTCGAACACATGGAATTGGTAAGGAGCCAATTTTGTGAGCAAAATTGCATGTTTCACAAGTGAGTATCTTGTCGTGTCCTTTGGAATTTAAACTGCACTTCCCCTGTATATTAACATCGACATAATATTGAAATATACCCAATGATGATACAATATGAAGTAGATTTGTTTTTTATGGTATAGTAAATTTTTGTCTGTTTGTTTGTTTGTCTGTGTCTAACGTTTATATTCTTATACCATTCATCGGATTATGATAAAATCTGGGTGAATTGTTTCTACTCTTAGAACTTTATTAGTCTAAATACCAAGTAGGTAGTATTACGCAGTAATTTAAGTGTATGTATAGTTCGTATGGAGTTAGATTTGTAAGTATATTATATGTACATATGTATGTACCTACCTGTATTACTTTATACCTAAGCGGAACCACGATGGATCGTAAGTCGAATATACATATAAAAAAACAATTCTAAAATGGGGCATTCACAACTTAGATTTGAAACGTATTAGTACCTATACAAGCTCGTCCTGATTACTTTATTATTTATACAGATAAATATACTGAACTATATACCCGCGGCTTCGTTTGCTATGTGATTATGTTTAAGCAGAATATATCATACGCCTTTCACGTCAGTACTTACATATAAAGTTACGAA